TACTCCTGTGGCAACAATAGCACCCCAACAGGACAATCGTTTACCGAATAAATAAGTAAAAGACGATTTTGAAGCACTACATTTGTACTTTTTAAGTTGTTATCCGCTTCTGAAACTTTCTGGTGTGCAATTCTTTGCTGTGCAATTTTCCTATTATACATATAATAAAAATGTTTTGTAGAACAAATGACTTATAGTATCCCGATAGAAAGGGCACTCGACAATAAAGTCTAAACTGCAGCTCCTAAGAAATGCCCCCTTTGATTGTGTGTCTGAAGATTAAAAGACCGCATTATTTGTTATCATGTCCCAATGATTTCCAACCACAAATTCTTTCTCCTTTGTAAAACATCAGTGGTTTGTCGAACAATGTTGGATGGTACAAATGAAAAAGCTGGCAAAAACAGGAAGAATGACAGACATTTGGCGATTCATTAGTGTGCCGAAGCTCCTTCAAAGCTTTCTCTGTACCACAAAACAACTAAAGAACTCTAATTTTCAATGCCTCAATCTGAGAAGGACATTTGGGTTTAGCCCAGAAAGGGAGTATCAAGAATAGACTTGAATTTTAAAAATTGTTACGCCTCTCATAGCCAATAATGAGTTCGCTGCAAAGTGAACAAGTATCACTGCCTAGCTAACAATGTCTGCTTTTATTAGTCTCTGATTGTAGTATGAAACTCGTGATATTAAAAAAAGCTACGCTTATCATGAAGTGCTCATATAAGTTTATCTAATGACTCCATGTTTCATATAATCTTCTCAAATTGTAATCCACCACAATTACATTGTAGTATAGTGCATACAATTTCTAGATTGTTCCCTACGGATATCGTTGTAACGAATATTTTTAAAAATACCTAGATCTTCTTTGCCTGGAATTATTAGCTTTCGGCACTATCAATCTAGTCTTTTTTATTATACCACATTCGTTTCAAAATATTTGTTGATAAATTTGAAAAATTTTGTGCCTACACTTGTAGTCAAATTCTCCCTCTTTAAAGAAAGTGTGAAACAGAGGGTAATTTTAGTTTTTTTTTAGAAATTTTGATTTATAAGAGCCTTTTCTTTATGCAGCTTTTTACTAAAGGAAATAACACTGTTATACAACGTTTACAACGTTCATAGTATGACGAGGTGATGTCAAGCTATGATGTGTTAGAAATGTTCCGTTCCTAAAAAGTCTTTCTTCAAAACATACTGAAAAGCTAGATTTGCTTTCTGCAGCGTTTTAAAAGCTTCAGAGGAGTCTGAAACTGATATTGGTGGCCATCGCCTCATTTCGAGAGTTTGTAGACCGTCAACTTTGCCTATTCACTAGCTAATAGGCCTAGAATGTACAAACTTCAGACTGCAAGATCAACTGTTTTTTAAGAGACCAAGGATATCACTTGTAAGTGCATACGATGAGAGTTGCTCAGCCAAAATGCTCGCTTGTAGATATAAGAGGAAATAGTCCAACTCTCTACGATTTCAAGTAGTTCTGTACGAAAATAATCTTCAAAATGAAAGATGCCCGTTTATGCCCACGAGAGACTCCACATTACTGCTATGAAATCACCATTTCTTCGCCGATGTTATGAAATTTCTAGTCTGAAAGCTTTTTCTCAACAAATGGCTCATTTGAGCTAGTGACAAACGCCTTCCCTGTCGGGTGTGAGCTTGAATGTCGCGGCTATGAATAGACATGGATACTCTACAACTCACGCAAAAAGAGCAGTGGTGACACTTGGTGACAGCTGGCGATTACTACATCCTTTTCCATCTACAGCGTGCTGTCACTAGAAGGTAGTGAGTTTTGTTGGAGATGCCGTAACGACTATATTGAACATATTGATGCAGCGGAAAAAATCTCTTTGCTTATTTTTTCAATCTTTAGCAGTAGGTTTTACAAGGTTTTGATGTTCTTAACTAACTATAAGAGCTAGATGAGCTGTTCTTCTGACTAATAGCAGTGATACTGGAAAATGAGTATTTTTGAAGAATGACATAGATTGGTTCTTGAAAAGGCTCGGAAATACCAATTTTCAGCTTAGGATAAGAAAATATCATTGGCTATGTTTGGCAAACTATCAACACTTAGTTTACTGCTTCCTCGTGTTTCCAATAACCAAGTTCATTTTTTTGCGGCTACTAGCTATTGTATTGGTTTTATACACATTTTTTGCAATAATCAAGCAATGTCGGTGAAACAAGGAATAAGAAAAATATACGATTTGTACCCATATACATTGCTTTTCACAGCTATACAGGATGGCGAAATACATGCTCGTGACATCTGCCTCTAATCCTTTTAAAGCAAATCATCCAGATTTATCTTTCAAGACGATTAACTTCCAGCCCAAGGAGAAACAATCCACTTCCTG